GGCGGACCAGTACGTCAAAGTGTTCGAGACGCTGGGGCTACTCTGCGCGCTGCTGCTCACCGTCGGGGTGACTTATCTAATCGCTTCGCTCCTTCCGCCGGCCCTGGAGCCCTCTGCAGGGCCTCTTGGGGGCCTCTTGGGCCCCCTAGGGCCGTCTTGGGGGGCTTTGGGGGGCCTCGTGGGGCGGGAGGGGGGGTAGTCGATTGCGGCTCCCCCCTCGGAGGCCACGATCCTCGTGAGGGATGTCGAAAAATGGCCCTCCCCTGGAGTGCTCTGGTGGCTTCTCCCAGGACCTTGCCGGCGTACTTTTCGTCCGGGGGCCCCCAGGGGCCGCTCCGCGCGCGCGAACTGGAAATATTGTTAACCAGTTACCGGAGATGTTAGCACGCCTCTGGCCCGTTGGGCCGGCGAATTTTACCGCCTCGACCGATCAGCACTTTCATCTTCACGGTGTCATATGCTGCGTCGCCAATTGTTCGCTGCTCCTGGGTACTTTGATGAGCACCTTCTTCGCCATCACGTGTGGCACATTCAAGTCAGACCAGCAGGTGAACATCTTCGTTGGCCTGATCGGCCGCATCATTCTTCGGGGCCCGATCATCTTCTTCGTGGTAGGCCTAGGCCTGCTGTACGGGGAGATGGTGCTGTGGTTCAAGATGACCATAGACGCGGGAACGTCGTGCGTAATGTGCTTGACCACGTGTTTAGTCTTGGCTCCCACTTTCTTCCACTCCATGCACAAGATAGGATGGGCTGTCAAGGTCGTAAAGGAGCAGACATCCGTAGAGCAGCGCCTGGCGTCGATTCCGACACCAGAGGATCTGCGTGCGCGCCTGGACGCGTACGTGGACTCCAAGGACGGCGTCTGCCTGCTTTTTCTCTCTTGTGTAAAACAATATAAAACAACAAATACAAAAAAGGACGGCGCCTGCCTGCTTCTCGACCGCGACGAGTTCCTGAAGAGCCTGGACACCGCGTGCACGCGCGCGACCTCGGTGCAGAAGACGTTGGCCGGTCGGCTCTTCGACGCTCACGTGGACGAGGCGCTGGGCGAATTCGGGGAGAGGGGCCGCGCCTCCAACCGGGCCGCGGCGCAGAGCAGCAGTTGCCTCGATGCACAGAGCGACGGCAGCACGATCATCCCTGGCGGGTCGAAGCCCTCGACCTGAAGGCCGAGAGCAGCGGCAGCTTCGATGTGATGATCGATGCAAGGGCTGATGGCACAGGGCGAGGTTTCTGTTCCTCATCTTCCACCTCCGTGCCCTCTTGTGTTCGTTGTCGTTTCTACATCGCCCTGCCTCCGTTCATCAGATTGTCAGTATCATGTGTATGCACCCGTCTCTCTAATGCTCATTCGTTCCGTCCTGTTGATCCAACTCATCCAAAAGTATGGTTCTCACCGGCCTCGCATCGCCGTACATTGAAAAGTGCCTCGTCAATTGCCACCTGTCCTGCGAGCGGGCTGCCCACGAATTGGCGGCTTCGACAGCTTGCAAGCAATGGACGGGCAATGCCCAGGCGGGCATCAGTTTGGGATTCCTTTTTGCTTTTTCAATTGATCACTGCCTGTTTTCCCGCTGCCCGAGTCCGTGTGACCCGAGCAGTGTGCCCGAGTCTGGGGACAGTGTTTTGTCCTCAGTGTTGTTGTGGCTTTTCTGTCAGGCCGAGGATACCTCATCCTTCGTCTCCTCACTCCTCTTACTCCTCATCAGTCTTCCTCCTTCGCAGTGGCTCTACGGCCCCTCGTCGTGGTCGTCTCCTCCGCGTCGTAGATGTTGTTCTCGTTGCCTTCATCCTTCTCTCATCCTTTCGTCTTGCTCTTCCAATTCTTTGCATCATCACCATCACCATCCTGCTAGTATGGTAAGTTGCCTCTACTTCCCCCCTTCCGTCAATGCAAGAACGCATTGTCAAGCGGCTCTCAGTGAGTTGGCGATTTGTGAATTACAGACCCTCGCATTTTGAAGCGGGATAAGGACGAGTGGCCGCAGCTCTGGCACGGGGCTGGCAAGCGTTTGCGGGCACACGTGTCGCCAACGCGCGCTAATATGAACAGGTCTGATGGCCGAGTGTTGAGGCCCGCGCGCGTGCATCTTGTACGCCCGAGTCCAGAGCCTCTTAGCGTCTCCACCCTGTCTTCCAGGCTATGATTCGTTGCATGAGCTTCCTTGTGACAGGCTGCTTCATGCGACTCTCCTGGTTACCTGACGGTCTCACCTCGCAATGTTTTGCGTCCCGACAGTAATAGATCGGATTCCACAAGGTTCTGTCCCAGTATCCGCACGGGTGGCATCTCTGAAAAATCAGGCGGACATCATACGTCGTATGCTCAGCTAGCCCCGATGGGCCCCAAGGAACGGGAGTCCTTCTCAGCAGCTTGATCTCAACGCGAGGTCCAGACGTGGGCGGGGTTGGGAGGTCCGTAGTAGGGGTTCTGCACACGGCTGTGATGGCGATGTTCTACGGCAGTTTCGGCCAACGGGACAGTTTGTTTGTCATCATTTTCGTTCTCCCTTGCTTGTTCTCGCCCTCGGGAGTGAGACGACCGATGTTCCAAAAGTTTGCCAGGACCTTCAATCACTTACCCGGGGTTAAGAAAATCAACTTGCAGGGAAGGGGTCGAGACATCTGGGCCCCCATTGTGCGAACAAATCACGGCGTCTGGGGTTTGGGGTCTTTCGGCCGGCTTGCAATGTGTGAGGGTTCACCGAAGTTTTGTCAAGGCGGTGTGCTTCCCTTGTGTCTGGCCTCTCACGTGGTCGTATGGCCAGGCTGGGTTGGGCGTTTCATGGATTCGCGTTGGGCCCTCTTGAGACAATTGTAAAAATCTTGGAGCATTTAGAGGACTCGGCGGGCCGTCTCTTGCGCTGGTCTACTAATCTAGCCATGTTGGGTCAGTCGTTTGCAGTGTCGACACGCCCATCTTCCGAGAGTTGCACTGACTTGCAAGACCAAGAGTTCCTTGGGGGCGCGAGAACAGAGGGGGTCGTTCCCAGAAAAGTGCAGAAACCCTACCGTGCAGCTAGCAGGCACCCTGACATTTTCCCAAGAGGAGCGTGCTCGTCACGCTCGCACGCTGCGGGCATGTCGAGAAACACAATCGGACAACGCCATCCAAAGGCTGGGAAGCTCGCAGGCACTATAGCACGCACAACGTGCCGATGGCACGGTGACAAATCTGCGCCGAGCTCAGGGTGAGGCTAAATTTGAAGCGCACAGTGGACATGCAATCCCCACCAAGGTGAAATCTGATTGTAACTACTTGCCCAGCTCAGCTCGCTGCACCTACAGCAATCTATTCTCAGCGAAGTGGCTTGAAGCGGAGCTAAGCGAAGCGAGGCGCTTGGAGGTTTAAAGCATCGGGGTACCTCACACATAGGATATGTGTATTTTGCGGCCAACCCGACACAGTGTACCATCGTGCATGGAGGTGCCCCAGATATGCTCCCGACAGAGAACTCGAAAGCTGGGCGAGGGCTGCTAAAACGGTGGCTGCTAAAACGGCCCTCCCGGAAGGAAAAAACAATTTCCCGGAATGAGGCGCGGCACGCGAAACAGTCAACGGGCTTCTTCCCGGAAGGACGAAGACAGCTTCCCGGAGGTCGATTTTAGCAGCCACGGATTTAGCAGCCCTCGCCCGGCTTCCGAAAGGCATTGACCCGGAGGTGCTGGCCATGGCCGAACACGTCGGCGAGGCAGATCCGTGATTCAGCAATCTATGGATGGCGACGCCTCCTTCCACTGAGCGGCCCGCCCCAGCCTCTGTTAGGCATGTAGGCCCGTCGGGCAATGAAATTCCCCCATTGAAGTCCTTCTGCACCGAGACGCTCCTCGAGCTCTGTCCGCGGCAGGCCGGAGGCCTCAGCGATGGAGCCCGGGAGCCGCGGACAAGAGTTAACGCGCCACCTTCGCGTTGAATTTCGTCCTCAAGCTCGGGGGGCGCGGGACCCTCACGTTAAATCTCGGTCTCGGCCCAGACCCCGCGTCGATGGGAGTTGTTTTCACATCGATAAGGATGGTTTGGCCCGAGCTGGTTGGTCGGTCATAGGGCAGGATTCCCAAGGTCGCATGCTGAGGGCGATTTGCGGCCCCGTCCCCGATGGCCTCCCCGAAACGGCCCCGGCTGCGGAAAACAACGCTCTTATGCAAGCTCTGGACCACCTCATCTCAGATTTTCCGGATGACAAGGCCGTGCATGTAGATTGCCAGGCCTTGATCCAAGGAGCTTTGAACCTGATGTGGGCCAAGAGCGACTCAGCCCCCTCAGCCCCCCAAGTTGGCGGCCGACAGGGAGTTCCCGCCGTTAGTTAAGGTAAAAGCTCACAAGTCCCTCGAGGAAGCCTCCTCCAAAGATGAGGAGCTGCACATTCTCGGAAACAGGTATGCGGACCAATGGGCTCGAGAAGGGACCCTGTCTAATGGCTGGCCAGAAGACGGTTTGAAACATTTTAGGGCTGATTTGTTTATGTTTTCGGGGGGGGGCCGCACCATATTATCTATACTTGAGCTGTGGCCCCCCACTCGAGAGCTCCTCGGCCCCCTCCAGCGGGCTCCCAAGGTCCCCAGTGGGCAGAATGCGGTTGCGAGGGTGCCCCACACCCAAGTCTGGGACGGGAGCTGCTGGAGGTGCGTGGCGTGTCATAGGTCTGGAGCCAAGCTGCTGGCCACCACGCGATGCTTCTCCCTCTCGACTTCATGTCAAGACGTGCTCCGGGAGGAGCAGAAACCAGAGCACGGGCATAAGATTCTTGTTACGGCTGTGTCTGCGACCGGGTATGCCCGCACTCTTCTGCAATGCATGCGGCGCCATCGCCTCGAGTCGCGCGGCTCGTCTCGAGGATCCCGTGTGTCACCCAGCATTGAGTGCTGAACTGCGGAAGTTGCGCCGTGGGCCGCTGCCAGGGGGGTCGGGCAAGGCGGAGCTCGGCCCGCCGTGGCACCCGTGGGCCCCGCGACCCGCAGTTGTCTCGTCTTCCTCCTCTCCCCCCCCCGCCTCCCAGGTAGTGCGGCGCTTGGCCGACCTGAAGGCCAACGCGCGCCGGGGAGGGCTGGGCAGAGGAGGGGTGGGGAGCTGACGTGGCAGGGTTTGGGGTGATCCCCCTTCCCTCTCCAATAAAGGTGGAATGGTTTAAAGGCAGATGTTCGACACAAGCACACATCGAATCCAAGTGCAGCGATATTTCGAGCGTTGCAAAAAAGACGCCGACCTGAGCTAAGCCAATTCGAGCGACTCCAAGCGAAGCTAAGTTACGCTCGCAGTGACCTTCTCGCTATCGCTAAGTCAGGTCTAGGTGCCGAACTAGAGATGGAGTTGGTGATGCAATGACGCATCACAAGCAACGCAGAAAATTGGAGCCGCATTTGAGCCAGGCTAGGGCACACTACAAAAGCCAACCTGGCCAACAACGCAGTTCTAGGGCTGATGAAGTACGGCCTAGCCAAGCACATGAGGGGCCAGGCGCTGGCTGGGCCGCTCGGCCTCAAGGTCCAGAAACTGAACGTTCCCTCCCCCTCCCCCCTCCCCGCCGAGGCCATCACTGGGCAGCAGTCGCGGCGCAGGAGCCGAGGGAGACGGAGTGATCGCGGGCCGCAGCTCGTCGCGAAGCGTGAGCCCGCCTTGAGCAGGGCATCGCCCCTGCTCTACTGGTATGCGCCCAGCTGGGAAAGAGGGAGGCGGGCGTGGAAAGAGGAAGGCGGGGGAGGCGGAGAGGGAGGTGTGAGGTGGGGGGGGCGGGGGAAGCGTCAGTCAGCGTGGGAGGGAGGTTGCAAGAGAAGCAGGCAAGGACGGAGAGACCGGCTCCAGGGAGGTATTCGGGTAGGGAGACGGGGAGGGAAGCAGGGAGGATCGCAGGGGAGGGAAAGCGATGGCACGGGGCGGGCTCCAAAAGAATCGAACGTGTGTGTCCCAATTCCCGAATAATTCAGCTCACCGCCAGAATCATGAGCGCGTCGTGGACCAATTGGCGCCCAAACCCAGAGCACTTCAAAACATTATATTCCCATGTTAGTCGAGCCGCTAAGCTTGCGTCGGGCATGTCCCTCTACAGGAAGAATATTCGAGAGTTGTCAAAAACAGTCTGGGGACGGTTGTTTGACAATTGTTTTGACTATTTTCGGCTATTTTCATGTTTTGTCAAAAATCCGCCTGTAGGGGGACATGCCCAACCTAACGCTAAGCCCGAAGAAGGAATCATGAGCGGCAATCGGATTCGCGCCCGCTCAGTGAGTCTGAAACAGGAGGGAGGGAGGGAGGAACGATGGCTAAGGGGGGAGGCAGGGTGAGGATTCATTGAACTTACTCTGCACACCCAGCGTGGTTGAATCGGACCTTTGAATTCGTTGCGCATATCTGGAATTCGTCCCCTGGCTGCGCGCCTCAGGAACTGCCTCCAGAGTCAACGTTTTCGTTTGCTTGGCCAGAGTCGATGGTTTTTGTCGCCTAGCCGCCAGCACTCGGGATGGCGTGGTTTCTTGCGTTCCCTCTTGATAGATGACGCCGTGCCTCCGCTCCGTCGCGGTCAGAGTTTGCTCTCGACTCTAGTTGACCAGAATGTTCGTGCGCCGCCAAACGGAGTATATTCGTGCGCGGCGGCCTCTCACACTCACGCAGAACATGTTTCCATCTGTACGTGCTGCCAATTCGATCTGCCCCGCATGCTCGACGCGGGCGCGATGTGCCCTCAGGAGCGCCTCGGCTGGCACCGTTGCTGTCGCCTCCGTCGACGCTCAGTGTGGGAAAAGCTTGTTCCCGCCAGGGGGGCTCGGAGGTTTCAGCCTGCAGACCAGAGGCGCAGTCATGTCGGGCCCAGAAGCTCGAGCCCTCTGGGTGGCTCTGGGGGCGTCGGGCCAGCAGAAGGGCCGCAGGGGGCGACACTTGGCTCGGGAGCCGCCGTCTCGGGATCCATGGGAACGGCCTCCGTCGCACCAGATTCAACCGGAGTGCGCCCCTGACAGGTGCCCGCCACTCGGCGCCATCAGGAAGCAAGGAAACGTGCTCATTGGGAGCTTCGGTCTCTGAGGGCACGTTTCGGGCTCGGGTCTGCCGCACATTGGCCCAGTGGGTGAGACATTGTGCAAACATGTGGTCGAGAGCCTGGGGTCTTTGAGAAATCTGTTGTTCAATTGGAAATGTAATGGGGGATGTCTGTATTGTGATGGAGGGTTCTCCCTGACAGGATTATTATCCTTCAGCGTTTGCGTGGAAGTTCAACATAATGTCGCCCTCGACGGTGAATTTGGGCGCCTTGCCATTCTCGTCCGCGAGAGGGGCGCATCAGAATTGGCTACTTATCCAGAACATTACCCCGCAGCTGTCACATGCGGCCGCGTTTGGGCATGGCTTCACGACCCTTGCTTTCTCTTCCGACAAGGGTGCGCCAGATGGCAATACCAAGAGCATAATGTGGCATGTGGGCCTCCAAGTGGCCACATTTTGAAATAGAGTTCTCGCCCTTTCGATGTCAGCCTCATTCCCAGCAGGGAGAAGTGTTTGCTGCTTCAAAGCCACCAGCATTTCTAGCTCCGAGCCATCCTCCCGCTTCCACGCCGACCAGTTTCACACCCCATAGCGATGGTGCCGCCTCAGCGCCGGCCATATTTCCAGTGCAGCATGGAGCTGTGCCTCAACGTCTGAGCAGTAGCAGCAGTGGCAGCAGCAAGGGCAGCAGGCGCAGTAGGAACAAACAGCAGTAGCGTCGCCTGGTACAAGCAGCAGGAAGATCAGCAGCAGCAGTAGCAGCTGTACAAGCAACTGTACGAAGATCAGTTGGCGGAATTTTGTTATGGAGAGAAGCATCAGCGGCATGAGCAACTAGCAAAAGCAGCACTTGTTACGTGCAGCGGCCCATGCTACAGCATCCAATTCTTAGCGTCATTGTCAGCACCAGCAGCACTAGCAGCCCGGGCGGTGGCCGGCGACGCCGTTGCTCGAGGCGGCGAGGACGATGGGGCCAGTGCGGCGACATCGGCGGTGCCAGGGCGTGCCAGCGGAGGTTGACCGTGCGAGACGGTGTCGAGTTGAGGGGCAAGCAGCAGCAGCTACCGGAGAAGCAGCGGGCCCAGGAGCGCAGTAGCAGCAGTTCCAGCAGCAGCGCCACAGGAAGCAGCAACGGTAACAGCAGCACCAGGACTTGTTGCTGTTCCTGCAGTAGTGCTGTAAATCGCCGGGTTAGCACACGTATGAGCCACATTCGTAGCATCAGAAAACATATTGAGTTGAATCAGTTACTGGTATTTGTTTGTCAGAGGACCGGTGCAGTAAAAGCGCGCGCTTTTAGTTTCAGCCGTAGCCGTAGTTCTAGTCCTGAGGTGGTAAGTGCATTGATATAGCACGTGTGAGTTATCGGTGCAATCCATGTTGCAGCTGTAATCGCATGTGCGACCAGCTGTCGCATTGGTCCTCGCTGTTGTAGCGGTATGAGGGGCCAAATTTCTTCGCGCGTCGGATTTGTCGTGGACTTCTCCTGCGAGAGCACCGGCTTGTGGCTCGTACATGAATTCCATGGAACGGCGTCATGAGGCGCGATTTGAGGCCCTATTTCTGGCCTGAGGGCGGGAGAACACGCTACGCTTGGAATGCCATCAGTGAAACATAGCGGATTGATTTGCCCTGGTCAAGCGGCTATGATGCCAATTTCGAGGACCATTATGATGCGGATTCGGCCCCGAACCGCGCTGAAGCAGATTATGAGTGTGAAGGCCTATGATGACCCTGCTTCCCAATACAATCCTTTCTCATGGTCTCGAGTTGGGTGCGAGGAGCCTATGATGGCTTCTCTGTGCCCACCCCGTCCTGGTCACAGGAACTTCGCATCCCCTATGATGGTAGGATGGGTGAGCAGTCCGCATCCCCCTGCGCTGCACGTGTGGCGCGAGGTTCCTATGGGTTTGTTCTGCGAGCGGCGCGGCGCACACGATGCCCACGAGCCACTGCCCCCCCGCCTACCACACATCCCGACCAGTCCCGACCACCGTGCGTTTTCGTGGTCAGCACCTGACCACGAAAACGCACGGTGGTCCCTGTTGCCGCCGCCACCTCGCGGCAAGACGCCCCCCAGGGAATGTCATGTCAGGTAGCCCAACAAAGCACCCCCGAAAGCGAACAGTCACCAGGACAGAAGGTGCATGGAAAGGCACGGAGGAAGAGGGTTGCCGACACAGAGCAAGACACCAAGCTGACAAAAGGCACAACCACCTCGTTGTCCTTTCAAGCCGTCCGCATTTTGCTCAGCTGCGGACCTTTGATCCTCTTAGGCATCAGAGCCGCTGAATTCTATGTTTGCGCATGCTGAATGCAATGAATAAGTTGGAGTGTAAAGGCCCATGGTGGCCCTTCTTCCCATAACGCACCTTTTTGATGGTATCGAAATGGACGCGATGTGCTTATGATGGCCCCTCTGAATGCGTATGATGACTGCACTAGTCGACCGGCAGGGAACTGAGCCCCGTTCATTGCCAAGAAGGAGAGAGCATGGTACGCATGACTTGGCATCAGCGAAGACGTAACGCATTGGTTGGCCGTGGTGAAGCGGCTATGATGCCCACCTCGAAGACCGCCACGGTGCGATCTGGCCTCGAGCCGCGCTGAAGAAGGTGAACATCAGTGAGCAAACGATCTCCGAGAGATCAGGATCAGTTGCAGCAGCATCAATAGCATTGGCAATAACAGCAACAGTTGCATTACAGCCTGATTACCACACCCCCGAGTGAATGAGTACTCAATCGAAATGATTATGCCTGTGCTTGATGCCCTAAGTAGTCGAGGACGACGTATAGGTCAAGGTTGATGTTGGATCTGAAGGTCAAGTTAGAAACAGAGGCCCTTGTTGATCACGGTTCTGCTCGTAGCAGCGGCAGGTGCAAAGATGGTCAGCCCCGTCAGAGGTGCAAATAGTAGCCCTAGTCGCAAGCGTTGCCGTAGCCGCCGCAGCAGCGGTAGTGGCGGCGGCACGAAACTCTGCTGGGGCACGGCACACCAGCAGGAGCGGGTGTGCGGCACATCGGTTCGTGCCGTGCCGGCATGGCGACTCCGCCACGGGCGTTCAAGACGGAACGTCGCCGTTGGCCCAGAGTCGTCCAGTGTGGAACGACCCGGCGATCGAAACGGCGCCGATCGTTCCAGCTGGAACGACCCACGCAGTGGCAGAAGCCAGCGCGCAGGGTGTCATGGCACGAGCCCGCCGTGAGTTGACGATCGAAACGACGCCGATCGTTCCCGCTTGAACGACCCACGCAGTGGCGGAAGCCAGCGCGCAGGGTGTCACGGCACGAGCCCGCCGCGAGTGTGGCCCGTTTGCCTTGGAGCATTGGTGAGAGGAGGAGGCCAGGCGTTGCTTCATTAATAGGGGGGGCGATGCGCTTGAGGGTGACGAAGAAGGTGTACCTCTTGTGCCCTACCAGGGGGCCCTGAAGGGGCCCCCTGGGGGCCCAGAGCGCGCACGAAAGGTGCACATGTCTCCCCCCATCGCCCCCCCCATCAAGCAACGCTTAAGTCGGGCCTGTCCCACTGCAGGGAGAGTATTCAAAAATAGTCAAACCATAGTCTGGGGACTTTTTTTTATGAAAAAAATGATTTTTTGTGTATCTTTTGTTTTTCACTCAAAATCGGCCTGTAGGGGGACAGGCCCGACTTAAAGCAACGCCCGGGCTTGGGGAGGGGGGTCGAGGCGCGGGCATGGCCGCCGACAGCCTGCGCGGCGTCGTGGTCGCGCCCGGCATGCCCTCCGGGCAGCGCCCGCCGCCGTCGCTGCCGCAGCCCGCTGCTGCACCCGCCCGTTTGTCACCCCTCCCACCCCGCCTGCCAGCTCCCCCCTCCCCCTCCCTGGCGTCCCCGCCGCTCTCCTCCCCTGACCCTGTCCCCCTGCCCCCCCCGCCTCACCCCGCCCCCCTGCCCCGTGCGCCCCCCCCCAGAAAACCCCCCAAGAACCGCCCCTGTCCGTTCCCTCCTGCCCCTCCCGCTCCTCTTCCTCTGCTGCCACCCTCGCTCTTCCTCCGCTTATGTTCCGCCTGTCCCCTCACCCCCACCCCCCAGGCCTGCGTGGTGCGGGCTTCCGCCGTTGCAGTGTTTTTGTGTATGCCCCGCGAGTGGTGCCCTGGGTCCGCAGGTTCTGGGCACACGAAGTGCGCTCTGGTGAGTGGCGTTGCAAGGAGAGGCATAGGGACGCGTCAGGCAAAGAGACGAGGCGAGGGGTAAGGCGAGGTGGGGCGGGGCGGGGCAGGGGGAGAGCAAGGCCAGGCGAAGTAAGCCAGAACGAAGTCAGGCCAGGGTGGGCGAGGCTGGACAAGACAATGTAAGGTAAGGCTGGGGCGAGGCACGCACAGCCCGGGGACCAACGGCAGTGCCAGGTCGGAGTTGCAAGAAATGATTTGATTGAAAGGTGCCTCCCCTGATCTTCCTGGAGACAGAATGTTTTGCTCACTGATGGCTGGGCGCACACATTTCACATTGAAGGCAGCAGTGTTTGCCTTCAGCAGTTTCTGCCTTCAGCGACTAAAGGTTTGCCTTCACCGTGCCAACATGGCATGCGCCGCATAGGTCGCACCGCATACCTTGCACAACATAGATTGCACCACGCAGGTGGCAATACATAGATTGTACCACGGACACTGCGCATCCATGGTGAAATAACGCATCGTGTTGGGTCCACGTTGGCACATCGGGTTGTTCTCAAACATCGGTGCCTGCGACGGCATGTGCTTGTGGCTTCAGGTGCTCGAACTCAGAGCAGCCCGTCACTCATGGCGGCATCTAAGGATTCGTTGGTGGCTCGGCGGCCTGCTCCGAGAGTGCCCGCCCGCTCCCGCGCGGCGGGGAGGTCCTGGGCACGGCCAGGGGACCAACAGCGGTGCCAGTCGAGAGTGCGATTGAAGTGAGCCTGCAGGCTTGAATAGTTGCCAGCGTGGAAGAGCGTTCTCATAGACTAGCTGGGGCATCGCTCACTCACCGAGTCCGTGGGACATGTTTGTGCTCCTGCTGTCCGCAAGGGGGCAGGATGTGTCCGCTGGAGGAGATGCGGAGAGACTTCGGAGTGAGGCTTCGCGTGTGCCCTTTCCTTCCCTTTCCCCTTCTCTCCAAAATTGCGCTGGAAAGAGGGCTGCCAGCGTGGTCCCTGAACAGCGAGTCGTCGCACTGTCGAAGCGTAAGCCACGTCATAGCAGCACGACGGGCGGCAGCGTGGCGGAGTTGCCGCACGCGCGCCCCGAGGGGGCAACGGGCGGCAGCGTGGCGCAGCGTGGCGAATCCTCGACGTACCCCCCGAGGCGGCAACGGGAGGCGGCAACGGGAGGCAACGTGGCGAATCCTCGACGTACGATCCCATTCCCCAGGGAGAAGGAAGAACCCCTAACTTGGCATCGCTTGGACGTGTGCGTTTTTCCTCGGCGAGGACCATCGAGGAGCATCCTTGACCACTTGCCGAAAAAACCACGCACGAAACCGAAAAAAACACAGGGAATGGACGTCCGAGCGATGGCGAGCTAAGCGCAAGCACTGCGTGGGGAAAACGGCCAGCACTCGCGGCGGCCTCCTGCCTTGGTGCTCAAATGGTCGAACTCGGGGTTGCCGTTCACACCATTCCTCCGCACCTGAGAGGTGGTTGACAGTGCAGCGGCTTGCTTCGAGCTTGAAGGGGGATGGTTTGCCCAAGGTTCCCTCGCGCCATGTCGTCCTGCGCACTGGCCCCTCCCTCTGACCCGCCTGCCCCGCCTCACGTGGCCTGCTATGTCCCTTCCCATCCGCCTCGTCGATGCCTTGCCATCCCGCGCTTTCGACCCCATCGCCCTGGCGCTTCCCCTTCACAGTTGCACATGTTTACTTCCATGGACCCCCCCAAAAAATTACGCTACCGAGGAACCCCACATACTTATAATATGGCTGGAGTGATGATAGCTGAAGTGAAGCATGTGAGAATGATGTTGGTGGCCGTTGCCCCGCCGATGCCGTTGGTGACGCCATTCAAGAGGAGAGGTGGAAGAGGAGAAGCGCCGCGCCAGCCACACTTTGCGAGCCCGAAACAGATAGCGACCGCACCCCCAAGGCACCCCCTTGTGGCGTCGAGAAAATGCAGCGCCTGCTATGCTTTGGACGACCGGAGCGCATGCCGGCCGCGGTGAGGGACCACCCCCTGCGCACCCCCTGTGGTGTAAAGCAAATGCCACGCCCGCTATGCCCCGGACGACTGGCGAGCATAGCGGCCGCGGTGAGGGACCACCCCCTGCGCACCCCCTTATGGTGTCGAGAAAGTGCCACGCCTGCTGTGCCTGGACGACCGTCGCGCATAGCGGCCGAGCTCAGGGACCACCCCCTGCGCACCCCCTGTGGTGTCGAGCCAGTGCCACGCCTGCTGTGCCTGGACGACCGTCGCGCATAGCAGCCGAGCTCAGGGACCACCCCCTGCGCAGCCCCTGTGGTGTCGAGAAAGTGCCACGCCTGCTGTGCCTGGACGACCGTCGTGCATAGCGGCCGCGCTCAGGGACCACCCCCTGCGCAGCCCCTGTGGTGTCGAGAAAGTGCCAAGCCTGCTGTGCCTGGACGACCGTCGTGCATAGCGGCCGAGCTCAGGGACCACCCCTCTGCGCACCCCCCAATCGAGTCTCTGCGCTGCTGTGCTGTGCCTGGACGACCGTCGCGCATAGCAGCCGAGCTCAGGGACCACCCCCTGCGCACCCCCTGTGGTGTCGAGAAAGTGCCACGCCTGCTATGCTTGGACGACCGTCGTGCATAGCGGCCGCTCTCAGGGACCACCCCCTGCGCACCCCCTATGGTGTCGAGAAAGTGCGCCTGCTATGCCTGGACGACCGTCGTGCATAGCGGCCGAGCTCAGGGACCAGCTCTGGTGTCGAGCCAGTGCCACGCCTGCTGTGCCTGGACGACCGTCGAGAGGGAAGCTCTGGTGTCGAGAAAGTGCCACGCCTGCTGTGCCTGGACGACGGTCGTGCATAACGGCCGCTCATCAGTGGTGTGGAGAAAGTGCCACGCCTGCTGTGCTTGGACGACCGTCGTGCATAGCGGCGGAGCTCAGGGACCAGCCCTCTGCGCACCCCCTGTGGTGTCGAGAAAGTGCCACGCCTGCTGTGCCTGGACGACCGTCGCGCATAGCAGCCGAGCTCAGGGACCACCCCTCTGCGCACCCCCTGTGGTGTCGAGAAAGTGCCACGCCTGCTATGCTTGGACGACCGTCGTGCATAGCGGCCGCTCTCAGGGACCACCCCCTGCGCACCCCCTATGGTGTCGAGAAAGTGCTACGCCTGCTATGCCTGGACGACCGTCGTGCATAGCGGCCGAGCTCAGGGACCACCCCTTGCGCACCCCCTCTGGTGTCGAGCCAGTGCCACGCCTGCTGTGCCTGGACGACCGTCGTGCATAGCGGCCGCGCTCAGGGACCCCCCTCCCTGCACACCCGCTCTGGTGTCGAGAAAGTGCCACGCCTGCTGTGCCTGGACGACGGTCGTGCATAACGGCCGCGCTCAGGGACCACCCCCTGCGCACCCCCCTCCTGCCATCCCCTGCGAATCCTACACGCACGTCTTGTATATGGCATGTTCTGTGTATCTGTATGATGCGTGTGCGGCCATATCGGGACGTGTCTCATGTGTGTGCCCACTATGTGGCGCACACGCCTCAATGGACGCTGCAGTGAACACGCCAGGCGCGCACTAGCGTTGTATGGTGTGTGTGCGTGTTGTGTGCGAGTGTGTGCATGCGTGCGGCTGTATGTAGACGCGTGTCTCATGTACTTGCCGTGCATGCGTTGAGCGCGGGTGAGGAGAGGAAGGAGGAGAGAGGAGGGGAGTGGGGGTGCGACGACGTGTGTCTCAATGAGGGTGATGTATGATGCGTGTACGGCTGTATGTGGACGTGCGTATCATGGGGATGCCAGTATGCGGCGCATGCGTCTTGCATTTCCGTGTGCAAGCGAGAAGGAGAAGGGGAGGGGGGAGGTGAGACGCGGGTACGGCGCGGCAGGGAAGAAAACCAGAACCCCACGAACCATGTGGGGAAAAATGACATCATCGCGGTCTGGATGTGCATTATCAGGGTGAGGGGGCCCGCATGGTCTTTCTCCCAGCGTGCGCGTGTCTGGAGAGGGGACTTGTCGTCCAGGGGCGGCATGTGGGGGCTACACGTGGGGGTGGCACTTCGGGTTACACTTGAAGGCTAATTAATGTGAGGTACGCTCGGGTCGACACATGGGGTGACACTTGGGGTGACACATGGGGGCTACATGCGCGGGCGGCATTCAGAGGACACTGTGGGGGCGGTGCTTGGGGATACACATGGGGAGCAGCACATGTGGCCCAGGGTTCGCCCGCGCCGTCGCCCCTCGCACCATGATCTGTGAATGCTGGGTGCTGCGTATGTTGCGCTGTCTATGTGGCGCAATATGCATGTATCTATATTTATATGCATGGTGCAAGTTACGTGGTGCAATGGTGCAAGTTGTGTGGTACAAGCTAAGTTGTGCAATCCCCGTGGTGCAAACCACGTGGTGAGAGCTGCGCGGTGCACTGCGTGGTGCACGCTATGTGGTGTACCACACGTGGTGCAAGCTACGTGGTACAACACATGTGAGGTGGTGCAAGCTTTCCGATGCAAGCCTTGCGTTGCCCGCGGGCAGCCACCAAGAGGGCACCAGGGAAAACACCGACACACCCGTACAACTTCTTTAAACGCAGGTGACATTACACAAGTCTTACGTGCAAGCGATGTTGCGCGACGCATGCATACT